TTCTTGAATGTATGATACATAATGTGTTACATTGTGATACATGATGTGTATCATACATTTCAATAGTTCTCTGACATCTTTTTGACCGGTCTTGACGGAGCTCCGACGAGGCGGTGGACGCGAACCAAGAGATCCCATCAGTGGAGGCGACGTCGAACCACTTCGATCTCTGCGTCGAACACCTTCGGCTCCAGGCACTGCTCCAGATGCTGGCCGAAGAGGCGTGGGAGGGAAAGAATATACAGAAACGAAGAAATTAGCCGAACTAGCCCAACCAACCTCAGAAAATGGAGGTATGTTCAGGAAATGTGGCCATTCAACCATAGGAAGTGCATGCTGCTGCTCAGGATTCGCCGCAAGAATCTGCACCAACGGTCACCGCTTCAGCTGTAGAGGACCAGTGACTTCCTTGTCCTCGCGTGCGAAGCATATTTGTGCGGCTTGCTCTAGAAGTCTTTGAGCTATGCGAGTCAATAGGAGACTGTCCGCGGACAGTGATACAGGTGAGATCAGGTGAGCGTATGATGAAGTGGGCAGGGAATGGCAGGGACTAGACAACCAGCCTTTGAAGTGCTTCATAGAGGTTTGGAAGTGGTCACGAGTGATCTTGTCGACCACTGTAACTCAGGCATTCGCACATTCTCTTTGCCAACTTCCTATCCTTTCCGAGACTTTAGTATCAAGGGCATCGCTACTAGGAGCAAGAAGCTACTAGTAGCTCCTGGCATTACTACTAGGAACAAGAATGCTACTGGGAACAAAGGGTGGCATCATTACTAGTAGCCTTCTTGTTACTACCATTTGTCAGACCCAATTCTCTGACCTTCAGGATCCGTCGGAGAGGCAGGTCGCTGCTGAACTGGCAGCGAGTTCAGTGGCTTCCGAGAAAGCTGTGCAGGATCTCACTGGTTCAAGTGCGGAGTTACGCAACTAGAGTAATTCTATAGAGGAGTCAGGAGTGTAGAGTCTATTAATGAGTTCAGTCTCTTTGGCAGTCATTCTTCAAGAATATCTATATGTGTAGAGTCCTTTTGCTGGGATTTCCTGGAAGAAAGACTCAGACTCCAACTCTCTTCGCTCTCTTCATCCTGTGCTTTTTGCATCAAATCATGGCAACTTTGATGTTTCTTTCATGTTCGTACTCACCTAGGAGCCCCGACCCTCCGGGCGGCGGCGGAAAGGCTGTGGGGGGTAGCTCAAATCCGGAAGATCTGTAAAAGGTAGCTCAATCCAAGGAGCTCAATCCTGCGGCAGGGAGGGCCATGTGACATGTGGGGATCGTCCTGAAATGCCTCGGCCAGAGCTTATGAGAACGCTGAATATGCCTTAGAGCCTTGAATTTCAGACGCAACATAAATAGACCATATGTCCTCCTTAATATCCCTTGAATCCAAGGTCTGTCACGGGTCTCTTGGGGTAGAGCAGAGTGACAGAGGCTTCAGCACAGCTTTGCAAGCCTTGTTGGGGCCTGAGCAAGATTTACAAGTGATTGGAAGGCCAAGATCCTCAGTACTGTTGCCATAGACCAATTGTGGAAATAGTGATCGCAAGTTACTCGCGCTTCAACGTCCTTGTTGGCTTGCCTGTGCTTGCCTTGCTTTCTTCGTCTTTTTTTGGACCGACATCAAACAGCACTGACTGAAGGGGCAATGGCAGATGTGTTGAACTGTTGCTTAGGCCAAAAGAGGAGGTGCAGGTACAGTATTCATGCGCTTACTCCAACCTAATAGCTTCCAACCTAGAAGCAATGGCCTCCAACCTACTAGCCTTTGTTTTTCATGTTGTTGCAACTTTTCTTTTGGATATCTTGGCTGGAAGACGTCACTGGCAGCCGTTCTTCGCACTGTATGTTGTAAAAGTTCGTTTGCAGGAGCCGACCGATGCTGTTCCATCAATGGAGGCTTCACCTGTTTATTCTACACTTTGCTCCTCACCGTCTCCATTGGTTCCCGCTTTCAATTATGGAATTCACCGGGAGCCTGGAAGCTACTCGTAGCTAGTAGCACGCTACTAGGGGCTCCTGGCCTTACTACTAGGAACAAGGACGCTACTAGGAACAAAGGGCATCGCTACTAGTTCCCGCGTTTCCCGGTTGGGATGACGCTTTCTGCGCTCTCCGCAGGCACTTCTCGCCATGCTTGACGCACAGCATGGTACCTCAGGGACGACGGACTCCACCGGACTTGTTGCGTCCTTGCTCCGTTCGTAGCGATGCCCTTTGTTCCTAGTATAGTGACGGACAATCACTTAGAACAAATCGGTGAAAAAATAGACAAGAAAATGGACCTGCAAAACCTTAGACTTAGAACATGCAAAAACCTGACACTTAGAACATGATAAACCCATCACTATGTGACTCTTATTTTTTTGGTGAAAAAACACTATGTTCTAAGGCCTTTGCGGAAGGTGCCACTAGTAGCGATGCACCTTGCTACTAGAGCTTCTTGTTACTAGTAATGTCAGGAGCTACTAGTAGCTTCTAGCTACTAGTAACGATGCACTTAGTCCGGACTCCCTTTGTTCATCGGTCGCTGCTTGGAACGCCTCTTCAGGTGATGCACGACAAAGCTTGAGCCTTGAATGAGAGCTGCGATGAATTGAGCTGAGATTCAAAGAGAAACGATGAGGCTGATTCAGCTGAGATTGTGAGTGAGATCTAGTCTTGAAAGGTCTTGACGTTTGAGGCCTTTGCGGAATTTTGTCAAAACATACTCATAAGATTGCTTCGACCCATCGAACATCAGAAAGCCTTTTCCTGGCGGGCAATTCAACAGGCTCAATCGCTTGTTACGGCCTACAATCCCTCTGAGGCAGCGTGCCAGCAAAATATCAGGCCTGGGCGGCCTGGGTTGGAGGTCGCAGCACGGATGGGCTGCAACTTTCATCTCAACAGCATGTGAAGAGCCTTGAGGGGTGGAGTATTGTTTACGACGATGCGAATATGGCTCATGGGACGGACATGACATCTGGCTCTGGTAGGTCAAATGCAACAACATCAATGTGTTCATGTGACCTCATGTTGCCTTCGCAGCAGGGGATCGCAACTTTAAACGTGAAGAATAGCGTTGCAAGCTGATGCACAAAGAAGATACATTTTCGAGAAATACCGAAATTTGAAATACCCATCAGAGCTTTGTGAGCTTGTTCAAAAGGCAGCTTCGTATCGCTTTGCATCGCTCACAGCTTGGAGTCTGCGATTTCAATGGCCCACAAGCGGCTGCGGACCAAAAGGACGGTCAGACGGTCGGAGGGAGGCTTTCGCTGAATTCGAACTCGAATTCAAACTTTCACCGGATTTGCCATCAGGTTTTGCCTGACAGAAATCAACTGTGCCTGTACCCCCAAAGTTGTTTGTTTCCTTCGGGATCAAAACCATAGCCAGTGTGGCTCAAGCGTTCGCTTACATGCCATTAATGCTTCTCCAACACTGAATCTCTACCCTCTTCTTGGGTACCTGAGATGACACCAGATCGGATCCACACCTCGATTTCTTCTCAAAAAGTCCGTAAACACATTAGGTCCCGTCAGGTCCCGTCAGGTCCTGTGCAACGCTCTGTACTTGTTTTGGTTCTCAGCGGATAAAGACTATTCGGTCACCAAGTGATAGAACGGAACAGTGAGGAGTTTGATCTATATTCCTTGCCCTCTTTTCTTGGTCTTCTTCTTGGTCTTTGGAGCTCTTCAGACAAGTTCTGCCATGAACCGTGCGCTGGCGCCGTTGTCCAGCTCGCGACGCCAGGGCCCTGATTTCGGAAAGGGAGGCAATTCGCTATCCGGAGAAAAGCTTGGCAACTAGTACAACCAAATGGCAAATGAATAGTACAATATCAGGACTGCGAAAGGAGTCTTTGTCCAGCTAAGATTCCAGAACTGAGACGCCGAGTCATGAAGTCATGGCTAACATTTGTTTGACAGTGGCGACGTTTGTCGTTTGTCTGTCAATCCTTAGTCAAGACATGTATTTATAATGTACACTTGTATTACACGTCTATGGCCAGTCTGAAACGTAGGTTTCTTGTCCGTGACTTGGCGATGTGCTGCCACGGAGCAGGCAAAGAGGGGATGTTGCCATACCAAACAATGCGCATCAATTTTGCTTCTTTCCTTGCCTTGTTATCTTGGAGGCCATTGCTATAGTAGTAGGTTGGAGGCCTTCGCTATAGTAGTGGGTTGGAGGCCATCGCTATAGTAGGTTGAGGGCCATCGCTATAGTAGGTTGGAGTCGGAGGCCATCGCTATAGTAGTAGGTTGAAGGCCATCTTTATAGTAGTAGGTGGGAGGCCATCGTTATAGTAGAAGGTAGAAGGTTGGAGGCCATCGTTATAGTAGTAGGTTGGAGGCCATTTGTATACTAGTAGGTCGGAGGAGATCGCTATAGTAGGTTGGAGGCCATCGCTATAGTAAGTAGGTTGGAGGCCATCGCTATAGTAGGTTGGAGGCCATCACTATAGTAGGTTCGAGACCATTGGTATAGTAGGTTGGAGGCGTAGGTTGGAGGCTGTCCCTATTAGGTTCCTAGGCTTGTTATTTGATTTCTGAACTTCAAGCCTTGCACAGATATGTCACATGTCCGTTCTGACAGGGGGGCAATACCTCAAGGTGGGCAAGGACCCTTGAATCTTGCACTTTCCATTGCTTTGTAGCGAACCTGGCAGCGCAGAGGAGTTCCAAGTGCAGCAAGTGGGAGTGATACAAAAGGACAGCTGAGCAAAACGTTTCAGGTACCATTCTACTGTCGTTGCCTGGTTGAGCAAAATCTGGACGTGCAGAACTGCCACAGACCAGAAGAAAGCCACATGGATCTCTGGAAGAAGCGCCAGGGGCTGCAGTGCAATTTGCAAGGGTTAGTTGGAGACAACAAACAAAACAACACATTGTATAGTTCTCATACACCCACAGACTTGGGGACTTGGGCTACCTGCAAGGGCTTTGCTCCTGCACGGCGCGAAAACATTTGGAGAGAAAGTGCAGCTTCGGCGCTGAGGTTGTACCTAGCCAAGATGGCAGGTATCTACACTGTAGATGAGGCCGGGTTGATGAATAGGCAAGACTACTGCGCTATTCCTTCTCTCCGAGAGCATGCTCATTTCTCAAGCATCCCGGAGTCAACAATTGGACATATGGTTGATATGTTCAGCCCACATGTTCAGTGCATGCCCTCCAGTCCTGCGACAGGTTCAGTACCAGATTGTCGGACACCTGGATGTTCTTACAACTTTTGACTCGTTCGACACAAGTTTTCCGAGGTTAAAGGGCCCGAGTTTTCCCGGGACGACAGCCCCTTCATGTTGGAGAACTTTTTGGAGGCATCAATCTATTTGGCGAGAATTGACTTCAAAAACGTGAACGCGCAAGTTTCTTTGGTATCGCCTCCTGGGAACACGTTTCTTAGCTACCGTAGATGCCAATTCTTGCAGAATCCTTTCCAAGGCATGCCTGAAAGCTGAGACATTATTTCTTGTAGAGAAAGTCCCCTTCCTAGCTAAGTTTGGTGGACAAGAGGGGGCAAAGGAAATTTAACATTAGACTGGTGGTGCTCTTGCCCATCTTGAGGTCAGAACCTGTTTCTGAGCACGACCGCGTCTCTTCGATATCGCGTTTCTTCTGAAAAATTGACTGCAGAAAAACAAACTAAGAAACTATATAGATGGTCAGAAAGACACTGTATATTTTCTGCACAAAGAAGTGGCTTTCCGCATGTTTCTGAACTATCGTGTTCTTGGCTCGGGTTTACTGAAAGCAACTTGAATTCTGACTGTGGCTACCTATGACACGTGGGATGCCACCTATGAAACGTGGTGCTTCCAGCTCCAGATATAGCAGAGAAGTTTGATTTCGATTGTTGACAAAGTTACACCCAGCCAAGAAGTTTTGTTCAACCCTCCCGATCATGAGTAAGAGGGAAAGTTTCCGGCGCAACAGAAGAAGTTCTGCTTTGTTTTCAGGTTTTGCTCCTAGTGAACACTTGCCAGGTGGAACCTGAGGAGGGTGACTACGACAAGCTTCAGGAGGCCTGCGTCTTTCAGATGTTTTCAGATTCCGATCGTGGACGATTTTCGGAGGGTGAGGCGGGCAGTGAGAGCACGGGCTCAAACTCAGATGACGGGCTCTGGACTTAAGAAAAAGGCAGTTCTCTTGTTGTTCAAAGCGCCTTTTGTTTCAGCAGCTTTGGCCAGACATTTTTTGCTTCCTACTCAGGAACAAGAACAACGTCAATCGAATGATTCATGCTGCCTTCGAGAGGCTGGTGTAAGAGTTGAGAAGCTGACAAAGTGGCTGCAAGCGAGACAAGCGAACGGTCAGATTTGTGAAAACTAAATGCCAGGTATGGCAAGCCTGACATGCCAGCCAAGTTCTGGCACAAAGATGAGGAGTGGCTATCAAGATGTGAAGGCGAAGTCAACATTCACGCCTTTTCCGTGCGAATCACAGAGAAGCTTTCTTTGCTTCTTTGTCATCAGCAAAAGCTGTGAACAGCTGCACCGGCTGCTGTACAGTGTTTGGGGGGTTGTTTAAGGCGGGTATTTCTTTTTTGAGAAGATCAATGGAGAAGACCTGCTGGGTGCAACCAGACTTGTACTCGTATTTATATTTATAGGCCATACGCCAAACTTGTGTCCCTTTATGCAGAATGAGACTGTCGTTTGTCAGGGTATGGCTGGTTTGCCACCTGAAGACTACATGAATAGAAGTATATAGTTGTATGGTAGATCGGAATAATGGATCAGAGAACATAGATGGTCGTAATCTCTTAATTCAAACTCTATTTTGTTTGTATATTCGAAGCAGACAAAGAATAGCTTTTGCACAGTTGGTTGAAAGGATTTCACCTTGGATGCGATTTCGTTCGCCGGCGGTCGGACTCTGCTCAGGCCGCGGAACTCGGAAGCGGGCTGCAGCTCATGCTTTGCTGGTTCGTGGGACTGGTATCTTCCGTGTCAACGGCAATGAGGAGGGCAATTGTTTTCGATTATTGGCTGAAATCGAAAGGACGTATGAAAGAATCAGTGGCTTCAAGGTGCAGGTATGGTGTTGAGCGCGGCATTCCTTTTATATTTTGGGTGTGTGTGGTGTGTGTGGGTTGGTTCAAGACTGGATGGGTGGCTTGCATCCCCTGCTGTAAAACATGCAAAAGCATACCCTTGGTTCGAAGGTGGACACACTTGAACACCCGGCAGGGCTGAGGACACGACTTCACATGGTGACGGAAGTCATAGAGAAAGTCAAACATTTGGTGTCAGGACATGTACGCCAGATGGCCTCAGATCTACAACCGTAGGACCCCAAGTGATTGAGATAGCTGCTTTTGCTCAGATGGTCAACTGTGAGGCATCGATGTCTGCCAGCCGTTCAAGCTGACCGGCAGCAGACTCGGGCTACCCGAGGTTGATGGAACACCAGGTGATGCCAATATCATTTAAGTAGCTGCCATCTGTAGTTTATGTAGTTCACAAACTGCCATGTGTATGGATAGAATCATGTGCAGGACATGTTTCTTCGCAATTCTTGAGTTGGCCTGAGGCACTGCCGGACTATACGACGTCTTCGTTGCGGTCAGAGGGGGTGGATGGAGTGGCCAGGCCTACGCAAAACACATTTGAAAGGACAAACAGATAAAGGACATGGAAGGACAGAGGGCTTTAAGAGGGCAACTGAAACTGTGACACACCTTGCCAAAGGTTGACGGAATCCAATGCCGCAAATTAGCTGGATTGATCATGCGACGGATTTCAGGCTGGTGCAACCCGCCTTGCAATTGCGCGAGCTTTGTTTCAGGCAGGGGTGGAGCCTGAGATTTTCTGAGATAAAGGAAAGAATATGGTCGGCTGGTAATTTGTCTCACTGCTTCAGGCAAATCCAGCTTGCCACGATCGGCTTCAGGAAGGATTCTGCTTGTTGGAGGAGCTAGCAAATTCTCTTCTCTTCCAGCACACGGGACTAATAGTAAACTACAGGGTGATAAATGACCTACAAAGCTTTGAAATGAGCTGACGTGTCTCTTTTGTGCCTGCACCAGAGCTTAACATGAATTCATCTTCCAGACAGGCTGCATATAGCAGCTAGCATTTGCAGGCTTTGTGTGGCTGGTGATATTTTTTGTTACCTCATGGACGACATCTCTGCAACAACTTGGCTCAAGACAATACACCACATCGCAACCCCAACCTGCGTAATTTTGATCCCGCCAACTCAATCGCACCTCAAGACCAAGTAGAGAGGGAGAGATCATTCATTGAATAAATCACCAAAACCCATCAAGACACACTCCCAGCACTGAGCAGTCAGCATGGAGTTGTTCTGTCCAACATCAGCAAGCACCAGCTGGCCACATGCTGATAGGATGATAAAAGAGCCGCTCACCTGAGAGGAGCTGCGATTTTGCTGTAGCAGTGAACGACTCTAAAAACCATGCAACCACTTGCTCTTGCAGGATCCCAAAGCCATTGCCTTTGACCCTGCAGCAAGTGGAGTGGTTGCAGCGCAGCAGTTTGTTGGTTGGCCAGGGAGTTTGCAGGGGCCACAAGTTGAGAATGTTACCCTCCGGGACTTGTAGCTCCTTGAGTCACCACCACCTGTTTTGTGAAAAAGACAGATCTAAAGGTCCAAAGAAATAGAGAGAAACAGCTATTGATTACAGTAGGACAACATTGAGTGGAAGCTACATCCAATTGTTTGATTTTGAGCATGCTGCTATGATCGGCTACACAAGCTACTGTAACCAGTAGTGATTTTATTCAACGAAGCGCCAGCGCCCACGCACATTCGACGCGATGGTTGTCCAAGGCCAGCTAGTGGTTCTGTGACATCAGTTCTGCTGCAACCATTCTGGCTGCATCAATGGCAAGACCATTCACCCCTGGAGCACCGCCAATCCCTGGAGGACTCCCTCCCGACTGGACA